GCGAAAAAGGAAGGTCAGGCCTGGGCAGAATGTTTAAGTCATCTGTCGCGATTTGGGCTTATTTTCACCCATAGTTGATCATTTTGAGAGCTTTTTGAAGGATATTAAAGAGGGATTCAAGGGGAAACGACTGAGGTAAGACTTTTGGACTTAAAACTCGATTATTATGTGAATTTCACCTAGAAAATCATGAAAACTAAGCCAAAAATTGAAAAACTAGGGCTTGAGAAAATGGACTTTTGATTTGGGATTTGAAGGACCATTTGGGGTCGGATTTGAGCACTTTTGATATGTATGAACTCGTGAGGAGATAAGGAATCTATTGATGTGAAAATTTCTGAGTTTCGACAAGTGGACCCGGGGCTCGGGTTTTGCTAATTTCGGAATTTTTGGTATTTTTCGACTGTTTTCGCTTGGGCTTTGTTCCCTTAGCATATTGTGACATATTCGTTCTGGTTTTTGGATTAGATTCGACGTCGCCTGGAGGCCGATTCGAGGGGCAAAGGCGTCGCGAGCTAGAGATGTAGCCGGTTCGAGGTGAGTAATGGTTGTAAATGATGTTCTGAGGGTTTGAAACCCCGGATTGCACATCGTAGTGCTATATTGAGGTGAGGCACACGCTTAATGACGAGCGTGGGGTCGTGCCCTATTGGGGATTGTGACTTGGTCCGTCCCGATTGATAATTTTACCGCGTACATGATTTAAATCTATTTGCTATCATCATTATTTGGGCTGAATGCCATATTTGGGCTCCGTGCCAATTATTTGAACCCTTCGGGGATTGTTGTTGATGTTTCCTCACTGTTTTGACTTTATACTTGAACTCAGTCATGTTATTTCCCACTGTTTTCAAAACTCAGCCATGTTTACTCTGTTTTAATACTCAAATGATATTTAAATGATGTTTTGGGCTGAGAAATACTGTTTTACTGTTGCCCGCGAGGCTTACGTGATTTTTGACTGAGTAAGGCCGAGGGCCTGTGTTGTGAGGATATCTTTGGGATCGGGCTGCACGCCGCAGCAGTGACACATATCTTTGGGATTGGGCTGTACGCCGCAGCGGTGATACATATCTTTGGGATCGGGCTGCACGCCACAGCGGTGATACACTGATTTGATATGAGGTCGAAGACCTGTTTATGATGCCACGAGATGGATTGATATTGCGCTTGGGCCGTAAGGGGCCCCTC